ACTCAGATCTCCCCAAGTTCTTAATAATATAGTTTTGAGAGCAAAATACAGATATATGACGAAGTTTAATGGTATTTTAATCTTTCATGATGAAAGACATATCTTAACACAGTGCCAATTGGTTAAAACATATCATTTTTGTTAATTTAGAATAGAGCGCTTGTGTTGTTTTAGTCAATTATTTAAGAAACAGAAGATTAAAGGAAGAGAAGAAGGATAGACACATGAAACTATGGATTGAAATTCTTGAGTCCTTCTTCATTATGCTATGATAACAATTACAATTGATTTCTATATGAGCACTGACCACAAAACTAGAGGCCCACAATTCTCGACTCTCTAATAACAATTACAACAAATTCATATGTAAGCAACAAAATTTGCTAGAATATGTCTTCTATTTTTAATCACAATTAAATCCATTATATATATCTCTTTCTCTCTCTTTCTCTGTGTTTGCAGCTAGCTATATATATATATATATATAATTGGAGTTATACAGAAATAACATCTTGAATTTAGGGACCTTTGGTTGGCAAAGGAACATGTTTGCGGTACTCTGCAAGAGCCCATAATGGGAAGATGTTTCTATATGCTGCATAGTGTAACATGCAGTTCTTCATGAACACACCAGTTATTTCCTGACATAAGAGATCATTAGTTAGGTGATTCATTGTAAAAAATAATTATATATATGTAATATACATAGATATATCTAACTATAGGTATCTGATTGAAGGGGGATCCTACTTCTTGGGGGAAGTCACCATTTTCCAGTTGAGAATTAATTATCAATTTTGCTGCACGATGAAGAGGTGTTGGATCTCTATTGGCCTGTATAATACGGGAATGTAGTTTTATATGTGTATCTATATATATATATATACATAAGCTTAAGCAAACTAACCTGGCCAGAATGAATTAAACCCATCAAAGCCCAACTGGTATGCACCAAGTTTGATCTGCCTCCTTCCAGAGGTACATATTTCTGCACCGTCCACCATATTTACTAGTTAATCAACTGTTAATATGTATGTATTTATATATTTGTGTGTGAATATATATATATATACATACCTTATCAGGGCAAGAACGATAACTTTCTCCCCACCCACCATTCGGTCTTTGTATTCTAAGAAGAAATTCAACTCCCTTGCGCACAGCAGCACAATTGTTGTAAGTCTTGCCTGCGGCTGCTAATCCTCCAAGTGCAAACCAT